GACAGTGAACTAGGCTCCAAGCACACAAACAGCCAAACATTCACCCGCATACATAATCGAACACCCCCCCACACTTAAGCACGACATTGTCCTCAATGGAGGAAAGATAAGGAGGGTAGAACGAAGTTACCAGATCAAGGGTGAATGATGATGTACGGGTCAGGCAGTGCATTCCAGGAAGAGAGAGTAATCAGAACACAAACACCACACAGAATCTCACAAAGGTTGAGTTATTGACTCTAAAATCAAATAACAAAACTGACTCAACCGAGGAGAAATAGAGAAAGAAATGCAAACCGACTGGTTGGGTTGCCTCCCAACAAGCGCTTCTTTCACGTCGTGAGCCGGACGATGGCTCCTAAGTTCGGTCCATGCTAGAACCTCCTTGAAGTTGAGGTTCTCGTCGATGAGGTGGAGTCTCAAGTCACGAGCATGTGGTGTGGCAGGTGATGAAGGCTCATGTACTTGATGCAGATGAAGTCTCCACCCTCGAGACCTCTTCTTCTCTTCTCATGTCTCATTGCCCCAAACCAGATAAGACAGCATCGACCGACCACCATCGCGTCCACCAAGAGGGACCAATGTCGATGTGGCCTTGGTCTGGCAAAGAGACACTGCAAATGGGTCCTTGCCAAGCAGTTCCTCAAAGTTTGGTGGGGATATTACTTGCAACTCATGGCCGGTGCATGCCTCTTCCACCTCAACTTCATCCTCAGCCTGGACGCCAATTGCTTCCTCAACCCCCCTTCCTTCTTCAAAATGTGGTCTCTCCCCTGGGAAAAGATCAAGAACCACCTCTTCTTTTCTTTCTTCCTCATCATCCACAACTTCCTTCCTCATCCTTGCTCGCTCTTCTTCTTCTAGAACAGATTGGAGAGCAAGTCGCCAAGCAATTTCTTCAATGGGATCATCTTGCATCTCCTCGCACGGGCCCAGCATGTTAGAGCATAAATGAGGAAAGGTGTGGTCTGCAACCAAAGGACATTCCTGATCATGGTTATCATGGGAGTTCTCTGTGATAACTTCTGTATGCTCCTCAACGCTCCCATAGCCTTTGTCATCCTCCACCTCTTCTAGCATGGTAGCAGAAAGGTGATCTTGAGCAAGATGTGAGCAAACTTGCTTCACCCACTCCGTTTGCTTCGCTGAGCGCTGAACAGTCTCCTCCATATCATGGAGAAATGAGGGATCGGAAGTGGCAAGGGCTTTGATTTGAAGATCCATCTTGGAGCATGATTTCTCAGTGTCTCGAGCAAACTGCTCCACGAGAAGCCTTAATTGTTCGTTCGGATCCTCCAGTGAAGTGTAGCATGGCTCTGCAGAGTGGCCCGTGAAGGCCGCCATGGGTAACTCCAGCTCCGATGGCCCTTCTGGTTGTGGGAGAAAGTCTTCTTGGTAATGAGGTTGTTCTTGATATGCCCAGGGGTCTGATTGTTCTCCGTAGTAAGGGGGTTGGTACTGGAACCCGAATCCATAGTCTTCTCCTCCTTGATTGCTGTAGGGAGTCGCGGGGTAATACCACCCGGATGGTGGTGGATACCCCCAATGATTGGAGAAGCCATTAGGATCCATGATTCAGATCTGCACCAACAAAAACAAAAACACCCAAGTGAAAAGCAAGGGTGGAAAAGAAAAGAAAAGAAAAGAAAAACGCTAAAGTAACAAACTTCTGCCTTTCCTAATACTCTAGAAAGTCCCCGGCAACGGCGCCAAAAACTTGATGCTCTAAAACACAACACCTAACAATGGCCAAGTGTAACCAATGAAAGAGACTGCAGTATAGTGGCACAAGTAATAAATATCGAATCCACGGGTCTCTAGAGTTACTATTACTCAGCTTCAGTTCATTATCTAGCAAACTAGATTAAGGATTGATTAACCAAACTACTCTACTAACTAAACTAAGTAAAACTACTAATTACAGTTTGGGAACTCACTTAGGTATGATTCCCCCTAGCTCCTCAATTAGGTCCAAGTTGTAATTCCTTTTGGTTGTTTTACTGTTGATTAAACTGCGGAAGATCCGACAGTAGCTTGGAATCTTTTCGAATTCTTTCGAATTTCAAGAAATCCCCGCCCAAATGGCCCAATCAGGCAGAGACACGTGGACACCCACCATCAAAGACAATAGTCGGCGATGCCACAAGTGCCGCGCACCGCCTGGGGGGCATGACACACCCGCGAGGAAGAAAAAACAACCCATCCCAAACTCAAAGGTAGCGCGCACCAATGAGCGAACATGACTTACGAGCGTAGCTCAAAGTCACGCGCACAACAGGGGGGCATGACACACCAACTTCGACCGGCGCCATCCTCAACCTAGACAACGCGCACAAGCGAAGAACCCAACAAAATCGAGCCGAGCGCACGCAAATCAAATGGACAGAACCCGCGATATACAGAACGCGCGCGCCACTGAGGACACGAAGATCACGCGAGGACCAGAAAGGCCCCGACTCACCCAGATCGCGCCCATCCCAGTCAATAGCGCGGAAAAAGATGGAATCGCCCAGATCCGAGTCAACCACACGAAGACTGAACAGGGGGCATTCGCGGAATACCCCCTGATGGGGGGCAATTGTTGGGCATGTGACTCGGATCTCACCCCACTGAGGAAGCACCAAGGATGCTCACGCCAAGGCAAAGCGCGCGAGTCACACCGGAGTCGAGCGCGCGAGTCGCGCCGGAATCAAGCGCGCAGGTAAAGACCACCCCCGTGGAGGCGCGCGTAAACACTAAACGACGGCGCATTGCACAGGCGTGGGCCCTTATCGAGTAGCCGTAGAAGCGGCGCCGCGTCATCCAACGGGCCGTCACCATCATAGTCCTAGGTATAGTCCTACCTATGTCAGGGGTAGTCACATCAGGGTCCTAAAAGCATGGCCTAAATCCCTGACATGTCAGTGGTCACATCATTGTACCCACTTGTAACCCAACCACTCACCCACCACCATGTAGCCTATAAATATGGCATTTACTCCGGTGGGTGAGAGAGGGGGGATTTTTCAGACTCTATCTCTAAGATCATTACTTTCTCTCACTAAACACACTCTCTCTATCTCAGCTCTATCCTCCCTCTCATTTGTCTCAAAGTTCTTGTTCGACCAAGCCGTTCATTCTTCTCGACCCATTCTAGTGAACCTCACTCCTACACTCAGTTAGGTTCAAACATATATATATTTAGAAAACGTCTAAAATTGCTCAAACCGGCCGGACCCCGATCAAACCATTAAACCTCATACCCCTTGCTTGACCGGCTCAATGGCTTCAACCGGTTTGACAACCTTGGCTGGTGGTCAATCGAGATCCCAATCTCATGAATTTCGTCGAAACTTGGCGATTGCTCTTCCCACCCTATTTAGGATGTGTACGAGTGTGCAGATCCGGTCAATAACCTTCTGGTCAATACCCATGCATAACCCGATCACCATCTGCAAATCAGCGTCCCTTCTCTCTTCTAAAAAGACTTTAATTTTCCCTCTTAATCTTTAACGGACGATTTATCACTCGTTTTAAGTCAAAATTTAATTTTTTTTTTTTTTGCACAGTTAGATCAGATTAATTGTATTCTTCAAAATGATATCCACTTTGATATATTTTTGGAACAAAAAAAATTGAGTCATTTTTTACAAGTCTATACCATATGGTATTGACTAGTATTCAAATAAGAGCATACCTATGGTTGAAAAGTGTACCATGGTGGTATGAACAAACCAAGACTGTTGGATGGTTGAATACATGATAGTAGAAATATATTAACTGTAATTTACGACTTTTAACATTGTGTACCACAAGATACCACCCCGTACCAGGGTGGTATTTTGGGGGTATTGTGTGATATTTTTGGTCCTGTATTTTGTTCATCTAGAAATTTGTAGATCCAATAGATCATGATGAACTCGTTCCTTCTGTGCAAACGTTTTCAAAAACGACTTAAAAATGAAGAATATACCATATGGTATGCAGTTGGTACCGAGAGGTAAGAAAAAAAATTTCTCAAAAAATATTGAAAATGAGTCTCGTTTTGTAGAGCACAACGAACTCGTTCCATCTGTGCAAAAAAAAAAATTGAAATCCGAGTTAAAACGAAAAATATATGAGCTTATTAAGAAAACAAAGAAAAATAAAAGTGACCTTTAATTCTCAATCGGTCCATCCTTAGATCTGAATTTTGTAAATAAAGAGTCCAGATTTAGTTATTGATGGGTGCATAACCCACCCTATCTAGAGACTGTGTAAGATGAACAAAACGGGTTGATGTTTGATCATTGTAATAGAGAATAAAAACTGTACTGCAATTCGGGTTTGACGGCTATAAGACAACTCCTTTTGTGGTAAGCGCTAGGTTTTGGATCACGTCTTTTCAAGTGTGCTATTTCAGTTTCTAGGCTCCTGACTTTGTTTAGTCCAAGATTGTAAAACCCTTATTGAACTCCCAGTTGGACCAGGTTCGACCCGAGTCGAGCTTCAAAATGGCCTCCAGAAAGTCCCCCGATCCGACCCCTAAAGAAGGAGAAGAAGAGAGGGGAAAGAGAGGAAAAGGAACGAAAGAAGGGAGATGGTGCGCGGGTCATGGAGGTTAGGTAGATTTATTTTGTGAAAAATAAGTTTTTAATAGATATATGTAAGATAAATTTTATTTCAGTGATTAAATCTTTAATTATTAGCTTATTTGTATATATATTTAGAAAACTCCTAAAACAGCTCAAACCGATCGGACCACGATCAAACTATTAAACCTCAAACCTCTTGCTTAACCAACTCAATGACTTAAACCGATTTGACAACCTTGTTTAATCTCTTGCCATATTTTTTCCATGGTTTCCTGCACTTCGATTGCCTGGAATTGGTGGATGTCACCACCGACTACTCGTGGAGTCCTGGCGAGTGGTGAGTTGGAGATAAGGAGAAAAAAACACAGATTGCAAACTCTACCTCATCCTACTTTTTTGTCATTTTCCGTAAAGGCTTTTCGTTGAATATGATTAGCATATTTCATCTGAAAGCTTGCTCTTTGATTTTGAATTCGTCTTCCATTGCAAATGTCGTACATAATAAAGCTTGCTCAACAACAATTTTCAAAGGCCTAACTTGATGAATCGATACAAGAAAAGGCTGCCTTCTGTTACATGCATTCATCTTTGCTTGTCAAAGAAAAAAAATTAAATAAAAGAAAAGACTGCCTTCTGTTACACATAAACGGATTTGCGCCATATAAAACTCCATTCAAATGCATACACGACCGGAGCAAAGGAGCAACAAATTATTACCTTCATGATTCATAAGCCCGCCTACAAATAAATAAAGAACATTCTGCAGATGCGCAAAAGTGCCAATATGAAAACAACCAAGAGTAGGCAGGAAAGAGATGTATAAAAGAAAAGACTGCCTTCTGTTACACATAAACGGATTTGCGCCATCAAAAATTCCATTCAAATGCATACACGACCGGATCAAAGGAGCAACAAATTATTACCTTCATGATTCATAAGCCCGCCTGCAAATAAATAAAGAACATTCTGCAGATGCGCAAAAGTGCCAATATGAAAACAACCAAGAGTAGGCAGGAAAGAGATATATAACACGGCTCAAAGCCTCAAACCTTACCAGCAACTCATCGATAGCTGTAAGATGATGGCCCGGCGAATGAGTATCGTGATGAAACTGGCGCAGTAGCTGCAGCAGCTTCCGCACTAGCCTCTGAGTAGTATCTCGGATCATCGTAAGAAGATAACCTGTCCAAAGTCGTTGCATAACCAGAGCGCAAGAGGTCAAGTCGCTCAGGTTCCCGCCCGACTGGTAGGTATGAAGAGTAACCCGAACCGACATCCCTCCTCCGACTTGGCAAGTAAGAAGACAGAGTGCCAGTACCATAATCGTATGCCACCGAGTAGTATGAATCTCTTACATAAGAATCCAACCCAGAGGTTGGAATAGATGCGGTTGCAGCTACGGAGGAAGAAGGTCCATAGTGCAATTCGCCTCCTCGAGCACTTGGGATATAAGGATCACCCACTTGCTGATGATGAGTGTAGTACAACGGTTCAACCGGTAAGGGATCACGGTAAATGGGCGACACAACCTGCCGGACAAGCCGTTCTCTTTCACATTCCCTTTCACGATCTAAACTGCGGCGAAGCATAGGAGACAAGTTTCTTCGGTCTGATTGAAGCCCGTAAGTTCGGTATTCCCTTTCACTCATGTACAGATCACGTTCTCGTTCCGGCGGTGGGTCTCTTCTCTGTACTGGTGACGCCAATAGCTCCCTGGACCTAATAGGAAGATCCCTTTCGTGTCGTCGAGCAGGTGGGTGCTGCCAACTCCTGTTTTCTTTAAGTTTAGTTGCTGGGTCCCGCCTGTGAGACCTATCTCTCGGTTTAGCATATGCATCCCTTTCAACACGATCTCTTCTACCTGAGCGAGGAGGCTCCCTATCCCGAGCAGCTGCCTGGGCAGGGTGGGCAGGCAGTGGCTTTGTCTGCGGAAGTGAGGAGGCAGCTGGTCGGAAGAGTGTGATTAACTTCCTGACCTGATGGGAGACAAGAAGATATATTTCAATCAATAGTCATGCTGACCACATTGCCATGCCAAAGAAAATGTCTCAGTGGTCGTTTGGATTTTCAAGAATGAAGAACAGATCTTTCTATTTTTATTACTTCTCTCGCATATGTTAAAACCGCGACCATTTGATTTCGAAAAAAGGATTATGAAAACATTAATACTCAATTGTGCCTCCACACCAAATTTTCTGTATTCTCTTTATCGTTCAGGGATTTCATAATGAGGGATTTCTTACTTGTCGAACTGTAAGCTTTATATCGAACTTGTTCTTCTTATTGTAGTTTTCCTTGATAGCCTTCTTAAAGGTGGACTCGGGAAGAGGGCTGCACTCTTTGTAGATCCTGAACCGCACCTGGATTTGCAGATAATGTCAGTAAGAAGAAACTATATAGATGACTAAAATGTAGACATAGATCGGTATATAAAGGTGATAATACTATCACCTGGGCTGGGAATGAGCCACCAAACGCCTTGGGCTCTAGTTTAATCCCACCAGAAGAGGAAGCCTCATAAATCCCATGCATAACTCGGCGCTCAAAATCATAGAGAAAAAGCTTAAGACCAGGCTTAATATTCCGAACAATTTCCTTCTTGCCAATAGTCTCGCCCATGACACCATAATTGAAAACATCAGGCCTGGTTTTTGAGCTACACATAAAGATTAAACCACCAAGTCTCTCATTCTTCATATCTTGGGCACTTTTCTTGTGATCGATTTCCTCCTTCTCATCCTGATTGCTCTTATTATCGTTTGCAATATTCTTTCCTTTCCTCTTCTCATCTTTTGGGCTCTTGTCCTCAACCCCAAGCACATTCTTCCTCTCATTCTCATCTTGGTGGACTTTGTCGCTTGTATCAAGTTTTTTCTTCTTCTCAACATTTTGACTCACTGCCCCTCCATCGATTTTTCGCTTATTCTTCCGGTTACGAACCCTTATCCTAGTAGTACCTGTTTGATTCCCATTATTCTTTTGGTCCTCTTGACTCTTACTTGATTCGCCAACTATCAGTTCATTCGCTGGGGTCTTGACATGGTCCTTCTCACCGGGGTCTATATCAGCAACAATATCCTTCTTCTGTACATTCTCAGCAGCAGCTAAACCCATCACAACTCCATTTTCAGACAGAGCACTTAATTTATTGCCCACTCGCACAGCCTTCTTCTTCATAATTTTCCCTTTCAGTTGTTTGTTACCTGCTGCACTTTTTACCTTCGCTGCAGAAGCTTTGTTGGCAATTTTAGGTCTAGCCTGCAATGAGTTTGGAGTCCTCCCAGATGTGTCTGCTTTATCTGATCCTTCCACAAAGTCCTCAGTTTTTTTCTCGTCTGTTCGAGGTTTAACGGTTTCTATCAGTAGCTTTTCACCTTCATCAATCATCTGGTCATCAGCTGAATTGAGCTCAGTGGAGGAGTCTATAAGAATTTCAGCAACGCCTATCATGTTGCTTTTCTTCGCTGAGTTGCCAGGAGTAGATTTCTTGGCAACTTTAGATCTCGCCTGCAGTGGCTTGGTAATCCTTTTGGGGGTCTCTGCTTTATCTGATGAATCCATAGGATCCTCAGCTTCGTCACTCTTCTCCTGATCTGTTTGAGATTTATTACTTTCTTCAACAACAGGGTTCTTACCTTCATCAATCATCTGGTCGTCACCTGAATTGAGCTTGGTGGTCGATTCCATGGCAACTTCAGCTGTGCCTATAGGACTGCTTCTCTTCAATGAGTTCCCAGCGGGGGATTTCTCCACATCTTTAGGTTTAGTCCCCAACGACTTAGAAGACCTTTTCGAAGTGCCAACTACTTTGCTCAATGCTTCCACAGCAACTTCAGCTTCTTCGTTTATTTGAGGTTCAGGCGATTCCTCCACAAGATTTTCACCTTCCTCAATCATCTCGCCAGCACCTGAATGGAACTGAGACGAGCTTTCTGCCAGAAATTCAGCTTCCTCATCGTCCCGTTCTTCTATCTGTGACGGTGGGAAGGTTCCCTCGGCATCTTCAATTTCCTCATAGTTCTCATCAGCCGACCGTGAATTTGAGGGGGATTGTACAAAATCATCAGCTTTTTCATTCTGATTCTCTAGTTCTCTATCCATTATTGGCAACCTCAGTCTTATAACTATGCTACTTGGTCAGAAGAAGACCTGAACACATTAAAACCTTTAGTCATTAGCATAGTTTTGCAAAAACCAAGGAAGCATTCAGAGTAACCAGACAGACAAAGCGAAAGGGATTTGAAAACGAACCTGAGGAGCGAAATAGAGCGGAAGATATTCGACGTTCATTCGATCAACTAGCTCTCTCTTTTTTCTGAGACAATTGAAAGTTCAAGGCATCTCCATTCTCCAATTCTAACAAGGAACAGTGTAAAAAGGAATAATCGAAAGAAGCCTAACTCAAGCACACCGAATATTCAATTCAATTCAATCTCCCGAGAGAGGCGAGAAACTGCGCCGGTGGGTGGGAAAAAAGAAGCACTACGATGCCCAATGCCGCGATGGGAATTGTCAAGCATCCAATGGCGAGGAGAAGTATAAGAAATAGCGTAGGTTCTGTGAGAGAGGTTTTTTTTCCCCCGATACTGGGAGAGAGTTACTGGCTTTAATCGTTAGGGTTCCGCGACGGCAATATATGACGGTCGGAGGAGATCCGGAAGGGACATGAGAGTAGCTGAATACGGACTAGGGATGACGTGTCGCTTGCGGTATGTTACATTGTTTGCTTGATGAATTTGTTGATTGATTTGGGTTCATGATGGACTTTGTACTAAATTTTATTGTTTGTTTTGAGTATACAGAGCTAACAAATCTGTGGGACTAGTGAGCTTTGAGGCTCCAAATTGGTGGGCTCCACGAATTTGAAAATCTCATCTCTTTAGCTGGTAATTGATTTTGGATTTTGGATTTTGAATTCCATCATTTTTTACCAACTTACCCTCATATTTTCTTTCTCTTCTTATTTCATTGACGGCAATAAAGATAAAGTTCACTTCATACATACAAATGTAATTACCAAAATCCATAATGAAATCCATAAACAAACAATGGTTTTTTTCAAATCCATAATGAGCCCAGGACCCTCATATATCTATGGTTTAAAGTGGCAAACGACATTGAGCCGTTGTGCATGTTTAGCAAATAGTATGGTTCTATCGGGTAAGATCGGTTCATATCGGTTCAACATTCATTGGATCACGGGTTTCAGGTAAAATCGGTTCATATTGGTTCAATCCTAATTGGATCGCCGGACAAGCTCGCGATCCACACCTAACCTAGGTTGAAACTGCAAACGATCGTACCGGTGTGCTCTATTATCCTATCAATTATCATGGTGAAAATTTTTTATTTCACATAACTTTTTGAGATCTATTCAAAGCGTCAGTCTGCCTTTCTTCCCAAAAAATGTTTGCTACCCGAAATTGCAATTTTCCAATTTCACCAAACTTCGAGCACTCGTAATTTTCATATTCTTTATCTGGTTATCTAAAAAAACTGAATAACTCTTTAACGACTATAAATTTTTTGTTGAAATATGTTTCAGAATGTATGGAAATGTGGAATTTAAATCTGAAGGTATTCTCAAACCCCTTAATCAAAAAATATTTCTTCTTTTGAAAATGTATCTCTAGTAAAAGTTGTAGTCCTTGAAAATTTGGATAAACAAGTTGAAAGTTATGATCGTCCGAAGTCTGTCATAATAGGAAAATGGCCATTTCGAATAGCAAATGAGTGAAATGACGCTTTTTGGAGAGAAACCTAACCAAACTGCCATCGGTATTTGCGGCTTTGAAGATACCAAAAATTTTATGTTGAATAAAATAAAATTGCTACGATAGCATAACTGAGTGCAACGTCACACCAATTTAATATTTTGACCTAGGTTGGGTGTAGATTGCGGGGCATTTCCTCGATATTGGAGAGCAAGATCATTGTACTTATAAACGATCTGTATTGTTCGCTCATGTGTCGAGCGATCCCCCAAGATTTGGAGCAGTTCTCTTTTGTCAACCTCGATCCATACTTGTTCGCTACTTACTCCACCGAACGAGAACTAATTTCCTAGACAGTCCAGCGAACTGCTCCAAACTCTAGTAGTTTGGGAAAGTTTTTACAAAGTGTTGTATTGCGAGAGATTTTTTAATTTACCTTGGTATTTGGGATTTATTTCCTTATACTAATGATATTCAAATTAGTTTCATAACCGACATCGGTTATACCAGCTTCAACCAACCAGCATGCTAGTGTGATAACCATGCCCAACAATACCCATAACCATCCATCACCAATCGCGGGTCAGGTTATACGCACACTAGAATGAGGCAGAACGAGTCCACCCATTCTCACATATTATTTGAAAAAAATAAAATAAAATAATTATTATTTTATGATAAAACAAAATAAAATACTTCCTCAATGCAAAAATAGTGATAATAGAATGAGTAATCATTGAAAAACCTCTTGCAACTATGTAAAATTTCACTGGGTGACACTATGACTCATCCAGAATATCACAATAAATTCCCATCTAACGCCAAAGTATAAACCTTAGATGGGTGCAATACAGGCAAGTATGTTTAAATATCAACCCTGGCTGGTCCATGTACCCCTACTTCCATTGTTTGAAACATTATCTAGCGGATTGATTTTTGGTTGAAAACTATGAGGTTTAATTCAAAACAAAGCAAAGGTAAATGGTTTGAAAGCTCTAGATGAGAAGGATCACTCGGGTGTCGCTTCCCCCTAACTACTACCATAGCACGTGGACTCGAATGTGAAGTTATGGGCAAGACAATCGTGAACCGCTAGGAGGTGCAACTATGATCGAAGACCACAATCTCAATTGCCAAACCAAGGGATACATTATATGCTACAAGAGTAGCCCTCTTGGTTAAAGCAATTAAGGGTTGACTTACCTTCTCCCTCAAACCGATGGTTGGACGGTTTAATCACGATTAACCTAGTCGATTAATTCAAGATAGAGGTTTGCCCTACATTAACCTAGGTAGGTGGCTTGAAAAGCCCAAGGAATCCAAACTCAATTGAGCCTCTTTTGGAAAGGGGGGTTTCCCCTCTAACCTAGGTTAGAATGACCAATAAGATTGATAAGCACAAACATGCACAATCATCTTGAAAAATACCTCAATCATTAAATTAAACAACACCCATAAACAATCATTCAATTCACACTGCAACTACATGGCAAATAGTTAGGGTTTCACAACTCTCAAGTGAAAAAGGTAACTGCTCCATGCTAGAAAGGGGAAGAACACAAGAGAAAGAAGTAGAAACCATCATGGTGATGCCTCCACTGTCTTTTGATCTTGTGTTGATCTTCTCTTGAGGATATTCTCCCAATTTACCACTTGGAGCAAACCGTAGCCTCCTTTCTCCTTTTGTTCATCCTTTCTCTCTCTAAAATCTGAAGAAGAAGGTGCTTTCTCACTCTTGGGCTCTCCATCTCTCTTCCTTTCAGCTCACGTTTTTATATTAGGATCGGGCTCAGTTCACGGCCTCAGTTCATGCCCGTGAACTCTTCAACGCGTCCGTGAACTTGGAGTGTTGTGTCGAAACGCACCGCTTAACTCACTTGAGTTCACGGTTTGCACTCAAAGTTCACGGTCTTAGTGAACATGAACTCACTCGGCGTCAGTAGCTTCCGAATTTGCCCTGGACGCTTTGTGGTTCACGGTTTATGGCTTTAGTTCACGTCCATAGGAGACCGTGAACTCCAATGGGAAACCGTGAACATGGCCTGAATCATCCTCTTTGCCCGGTCTTTACTTATTTTCTTCCACCTTTCGACCCCGGGGCTGGTTTCACCTGTTTGATCCTGAAACACAATGAAACATACAAAACCTAGCGTAAAACCACCCTTTTAGGAGTTCAAATGCCACAAACGCCCAAGGGAAACGAGGATAAAATGTGTGCAATTAAGCCCGAATCACTCCACCACACTTAGACTTTTGCTTGTCCACAAACAAACCATTTCACAAGAGGTAATATCTCAACCTATCAAATTTCTTTGGGCACAAATCAAAGGGCACAAAATGGCGACATCCACCACAAACGACATTTGAGGCTACTAGAAACAGGCAAATGAAAAGTTCTCACCTTGTTCATGAATCAATGCAAGTTTCAACAAGATCACTTACCAACCACATCTAACCATGAATAGATTTCAAGTCCAAGGAACAAACGGATAGGCAACAATGGTCCTCACTGGTGTATGATATGACATGCAAAACTAGAATGAATCACTCACTTTCTTGACTAGTGGGGTCGGGAACTTTTGGTGCAACGAATGTGCACAATCATCAACAGTCGACCCTATCGTCTCAACACCAAGGCGAAAACCTCTACATTCTAGATTTCACGGAATGGTTATCATCACTAGCTTGTCCGAAGGTCTTAGACACAGGTTCGAATGACTAGCGATTGTCTTAGACATGAGGAAAAAGCTTTTTGGGTGGTGGCAAACACATCATGAGGTCCTACATCTTCATCCTAAAATCGAAGGCTCTATGGCTTCTACTAAGAACCTTCCTTACAAACAACGACCACTAGCATCGACCAAAATCCTTGCTTCTCCCTTCCAAACTATCACTGATCATGAACTTCCCTTAAGCGCTCTTCCTCGGTCTACTCTTGCTATCGCACTTCGATTTGGTAGTGAAGGAGTTCTAAGACAATGTGGAGGTTTCAATGGCTTGTGTGCCAAGAAACCCCACCTAAAGCACACTCTTTGATTCCTAGTGCCACTTTCTACTTTATTTACCTCGTTTTATTACCTCTTTTTCGTTTCTCTTTCTTTTTCTTTCTTTCTACTTTCCTTTTCTTTCTTTTTCTTTTTCTTTTTGAGGGGGGTACTAGAGAGTTAAACATTTGCCACACAAATTTTAACGACCAATGCTCTCTTTTTAAGAACTCACTCCAACACTAATCTTCCTCTCACTTTCATTCCTAGCAAGAACCACACAAAATCCTCCTATGTAGAACCTCAATGGAACTCAAAAGCGAGAGCTTCGGGACACAAGGACGACACATGTATAGAGACGAAGAAAGGATTGGGGGGTCTTTCTATCAACACCATTAAGCTTGCAAGCAAAAAGCTTCTAACATGAGAACGACCCCCAAAGTCACACGGCTTAAAGGGGTTGACTAGTGGATAAATCATTTTAGGACAATCAACATTTGAGCGTGGACTAATCCTATGCCTCCATCATATTCAGTAGTGACAACTGTGATGTTACTCGCCATGGTAATAGGGATCTAAGCACACAAGAAGAAAACGATCGGCTCAAAGCTCACATGGGTACCTAGTCACCCAACCATCTATTCCAATTCACAAAGTAACATGCATGGCAATTGTAATCAACAAGTAATCGAGTCAAAATATCCATTCATTTTTGCACACACTAGAACTAAACCTTTGCACTAGCCTAATGCACCTCTCAGTCATCATCATAGGGCATACTCCATCACATGCAACAATTCAAGGTCAATGCCAATAACCACAAGATTCTCCTACAAACCAGCCACTTTGATCATGCAAACATTGCTTGGAGGCCTCAAAATTTTCAAATTTGGGCATATATGAAGGCTCCAAGCATCAATTACACTCACACAAGCATAGTAATAGACTACCCCCCCCCCCACTTAAGCTCGACATTGC